ACACACACATAAATATTCAACAATGACCAGTTCACTGTCCGAGAGAAAACCTGCACAGAACCGAGAGAAACAGAAGAGAGATGAAAAGAAAACGACCGAAAGAGCGACGCGAAACCAAAACAGACAGTGACCTTTGACCTCAGCTTAGACAAACACCAAGGACACAGTCTCCTCAACGCAGACAACTCCCAAACACAGATTATCCAGGAACTCATCAACCAGACAAAACTTTACAACTTCACACCCTCGATGACAACATCCTGTTCTCACTGTGTTACCAGTACTGTGTTATTCTTACTGTGGATTTCAAAATAAAATGAACATGCATAAGTTCGATTTTGTTTAGGAGCAGAGGTTGTGTGAGACGATGAAGAAACAGAAAGTGAATCATGTTTTATGTTATAAAAGAAAGTTTATTAAAGTGAAACAGTAGAAAAATATAAATTATTTATTGCACGGGTGAATTAACGGCTCGGGGTCAGAGGTCATTTTGTTTTTGCTCAGGTTTCTTCTTCATGTCTCTGACTCTGGTGCATCCTTATTATCAGACTTCGAATCTCCTTGCGCTTCTGTCTCACTTGTTGCCGCGGAAACCAGTTGTCCAAATGCAACGGGAGTTCAAAGTGCACGACGGGGTTCTGCGGAGCCAATCAGAGAGCTCGATTTAGTGTAAGTGAAAATGATTGATTGATCTGATATTCATCATATACTTTAAAGATGTAGTCAGTGTCTCCTGATGTTTCACTGGTCAATCATAAAACCGTTAAAGCTTCAGTTGATGAACATCAGATTCACTTTCTGTCCATTAACTGATTATTGGACAGTTTGTTGTCGTCAGCATGTGAAAGTTTCCACTCATCAAACTAATCTTCATTCATTAGTAATCACTGACTAAAAAGATGGACGACATGACAGCTCCCAAAAAGTGAAGCCAGATCCTCTGGATCGCCCTCTGGTGGCTGGCTGCAGCACGGGTCATGAAATCAGGACGTGGAGACGCGTCATCCATCTTTACTTAAAGTCACTAAATGTTTGTTTTCTTAACAGTTTGAAATATTCATGTAATTTAACAAACTCGTGTGTGTTCACCTGCAGGAAGCTCTCGACGTACTGCAGCAGGTACAGTCCACAGTCGCTGCTGTTGTCCTGCTGAGGGACTCTGCAGCTGCAGCTCCTCATGTTGTTCGACGTGAAGAGACGCGGCGTCCGTCTACGCACTTCCCACTCCACCTGCAGGTAACTACACAACATCCTGTCTCACTCACCTGGACGCAATTCTTTTATTTACATCACAGGAAACACGTCTCCACCCCCCCACTCACTCTCTGAGCAGTCTGCAGACGTTTTCATGGTACGACAGCTTCAGAGAGTCCATGACGAGGACGCACGGCCTGGAAGAGACGAGAGGCCGTCACGAGGGTTAGGGTTAGAGGGTTAGAGGGTTAGGGTTAACCCCGAGACGTGAATGAGAGCGAGGACTCACCTCTTTAACACGGAGTGACTGTGGCGGCCGAGCTCAGTGCAGTCCTACAGAGAAACACAGAAACCAACAGCCTGCTGGCGCTGAGGGGGAAACCACACGTCACACATATCCACAGTCACAACATGTGACTTCAGCCACTGGAGGTCTCTCAGTCAAAAAACGTCTGTCGACCAGCTGAACAGGCAACAAGCTAACTGGCTAATTGAGACTGACGACCTACAGTCACAGCTGGGACTGATCACATGAGCTCAGGGTTTTCTCAACGTGACATGAACACGTCAGTAAAGTCAATGAAACTCAACGTCACGTTTACACGTTCAACTAATGAAGTGAAAGAGACGTTTGTTACAGACGTGTTTAAATATGAGTACGTGTTGCTGTGTGTTGTGTGCTTGTGTTGTGTGTTTGTGTTGTGTGTATTTACAGGAGGTTCTTGTCGTCTCAGACTCAGGCCTCGTTTTCCCGTCGCTCGCTCTGATGCTCCTGAAACAACAAGTTTTTTATCAAATAGAAAAGTAAATAACGTCCAAACATTTGAAAAGAATCACGGAACATGTTTGTGAACAGTGTCAAAGTTCACAAACTGTCTGAGGCTCATGGAGTTTATGAATGAATGAAGTTAATGGCTAAATTTAAAGAACTGTATCTGTCCATAAAAATACAGAGAATTTAGATTTTCATCTTTAATCTGCTCAAATACATTTCCTGTGGTTGCTTCACAATAAAAGTCCTGTGTGTGTCTGAGAGGAGAAGGACGACAGATCGACTAAAGGTCAAACGTGAGACAACAAACATCTCACCTGTGCAGGTCTGAAACTCTTCGTGCTGCACGTCCTCCAGACCCGGGAAACACACGACCACCAGGAACCAGTGAGCTCTGAAACATTCAACACGTTAAAGTCTGAGGTCGCCGACGAGGAAACCACGAGTGTGAAACTTTCAATCTTCTTACTCTTGATTGACAGGCACGAACAGGAAGTCTTTGGTGAAAATGTCGATGTGACGAGTCCATGTCTTCACCCTCTGATGTCTCAGGTGACGATCGCTGGGAAAATATCAGAGCTCAACTAAATAACTGAATCAAACACCCAAACATTAAATGATGGTGATACTGAGAAGCTTCATGATTGGAGAGCTGGTCTTACGGGACCGAGGGGGCGTCGTCCTCTCCTGCAGCTCGCCGTCTGCTCAGCTGTTTGTAGAAGAAGCTGCTGAAGACGTGACTCCGCTCGGCCACGGAGCCGCCGACGCCCTCCAGGAATAGAAACCTGTGGGAGGAGACATCAGGACACTCAGCTCCTCTAGTGGTGACTGAAAGGAATGACAACAACACAATCCAGGATTCTCCGGGATTTAAAAAGTGATCAAGCTGACGTGTGCCCTTCACAATAAGGCTGCGGTTAAGACGACTGTACACTCAGATTTCTCACTGACTTGAGGTAGAAGTCGATGATGACGTCGTTGAGGAACTCGCCGGCGTTCAAACGGGCCAGGTCCTCCCTCGTCACAGAGATGCGGCCTTTGCAGGGCGGTGGTGGATACTGGATCAACCTGCAGACAAAACTCAGGGTTAAATCAGGACAGTCATCAGGAAGCTGCTGCTCCTTTCAGAGGTTCAAAGGAGTCACCTGACAGGAAGCTGCTGCTGACCAGATGACCTCAGACCGGACTTCCTGTTCCTCTGACTGCTGCTCGCTGAACCGACCGTCTACAGACACAAGGAGGTCAGAGTGTTAACGGTCTCAGGGATTTAACACAGTTTAATGATTATTGTCTTACACGAGCAACCTGTCATCACTTTTGATTCCAAATTCATGTGAAGACGAACGTGAGGAGGAAACGAGGAAAGTCGGCAAGGAAGAAGACGGAAAGAAAGAAAGGTGTGAAGAAATCAAGGGAAGGAATCAAGGGATGAGGTGTCTTACAGTAGAGTGTCCCAGCAGAACAAGGAGGTGCTGATCCAGGGGAGGAGGACAGCTGTGGAGGAGCAGGAGTCCGTCAGTCCAATCCACAGGAGAGGACGGGCCCTGACAGGAAGAGGAGGAAGAGGAGGAAGAGCGTCCCTTCTGATATTCTGTCATGTCAAGGATGGATGCCAACAGAGCAGCCTGAAGCTCCTGCAGCTGCTCCTTCAACACCAGCAGGAGGAAGCAGCAGGACGGACCTGACGAGACCAGGAGTCTGCTCATGCAACGAACCAATAAATAATCAATATCTATAGAATCAGATCAAACTGACTCACCTGAGGAGGCGGAGCTCTGACTCAAGGCCGACAGCTCCCTCTGCAGCAGTTTGGCCTGAGCGTCCGTCACCCACAGGAAGAGCAGCGAAGGGGCGGGACCTTCCCATCCGCTCAGCAGAGTCCCACCTTGAGCCACGCCTCCATCCCAGACGCCGTAACCGCGGAGCTGAGACGCCACCACCGTCACCTCCCCCTCCTCCCCCTCGGACACTGACGCAGAGAAGAACATGGACATTCATCCAATGAAATTTAATAGATTCCTGTATTACTAAATTATATTTGATGTATTTTATTGTTTTA